CCAAATGTTCTATCATTTATACAACTTATTTACTTTCCTCTTTAAACTTCGAATTTAGATCTTGTAAATACATCTGCATAATCTACTATTTTTAATTATCTTGAATAAACTGTCACAATAGATCCAACATATAAATCCTTTAATTACACTGATGGATATTCACATCTTTTCAAAAATATTCTTTTGTTTTTCAAATCAAACTAAATTCCTTTACAAATCTTACCATCTCTATAGTTTTGTCTGACATAAAATATGTTAGATTATAACTCCTTATTAAAGATGCACTTGTATCAAACCATTCTACTATGAATACATATCTTTCATCATTCACTGCCATCTGTTAATAATAATAATCAAAATATAATCAATAACCAGATTTTTATTTCCAGTATTATACTTCTTACTCTAATTACTTTTTCTCGCCTTCAGCCTTCTCCAATCGATTTTTATATTCCTCTAATAGTCTCTTTGTAGACTCAATAAGAGTTACTAAACTCTTTTCATTGCACTTTTTTATCTTATTACATTATCTATCACTAATTTGATGACATAATTTTATACACCATATTCTCTTTTGATTACTATCTTGGTTCTTCATATGATTCCAACTATAATTATTATTTTGAACTTATTCTTTTAAATCTTAAAGACTAAATTGGAGATGATGTTAAATGACTCAATATCTCAGTTTATTAATTTCCTTGCTTGCTATTCTATTTATGTTAGAATGGTTTCTAGTAAGGTGAACAATTTTTTTTCAGAATGGCTCCCAATCTTTTGTGAATCTCATTGTCTGATTTATTCTCTATTAGAACTATCATACTTGTTTATGTTATGTTTGTGGGTGTACGAAACTACTGTACAAATTAAGTATCTATTAAGATTTGCTCATTGAACTGTTTTTTGTATACATTTATTTTTTAAATGAATGATAAGTTCCTTTAATTAAGAAATAATTATTGCTATCAATACAACAAGAGAATTAATAAAAATTATGAATAACCCTAGTATTCTCAAAGATTGAAAACTGAAACTCCTCCAATACTTAAACAAAATAAATATACATACCATTCTCCAAGGAAATTTATTTAAACTACTTAAGCTTCATTTTTTGATCATTTTAAAAAGTTTCCAACTCCTAAACCTACTGCTTATTAGACATACTTACAAACATTGTTAGAAAATAAAATTGAAATTCAGGCTAAATAAAAATATCAGCCTTCATTCACAATGCATAATATTAATGGTCAGAAAATTAGCACCTATAAAGAAATAAAGGATACAATAAAAAATCAATCAAAATATAATCATCATCAAAATAAATCTGAAATAAAAATGCCAAAAAAAATCTAGTAATACGATAAGTCTTAGTTTAATTCAGCTCGAAAACATTAAGAATCATTAAAATAAATATCATTAAAAAAGTTAGAAAAGATCAACGATAAGTTTAATATAAGTAGAGCACCAAATAGAGTTTAATTTATTAAAAGTGATAGAATTGAGACATAGAATTATAATTTTGACGACATTGAACCTTGGAACACTTCTGAACAAAAATGATAGTGAAATATTAATTCTAATAATTTCAAATTTTTTTTTCATTTTTAAAGCAGTTCTCTAAGTTATGAAATGATGATGATCTAGAATTATGATGTTGAGAGTATCTATATTATAATATTGGGCAATTCGAGGATTCATAATTTTATATAACTCTAAAATCTTATTTATTTAATACTTGACATATTATTAACAAGGTTATTATATTTATAACTATTGATTAAGGAAAGAATTCTAATATTGAATTTCGTTAATTTATATATTAGGTTAAGATTTTTTACATATGATTTTTAATGGAGTTGTTTTTATATTTGATTGCTAGAAGATTATCTTTTATTCTGGCTAAGTAAATTTAATCGGTTGTACTTATTGATTATATTACAATTAAAGATTTTCCTTATTGATTTAAGACTTATCAAGAATTTCTAAACTTTTTTTTTAAATATCAAATTCATCAATAATTTGAGTTTTATTAATTTAAACAAAAGTATTCTGAAGATTTTGGGGATTAAAATTCTTAAAATTTTATTCAAGCAATATTGATCCATTATAATGATTGAATGATTAACTTCTCATTTTAAAAGAAACTTTATTTTATTACTCTGTCAATTTTTAATGGTTAGTTCCAAAATTAGCTAGAGCTTTTTTTTAGATTTATTTATTTTCATCTTAAATTATTCCTATTTTTTTTAAATTCAATTTAGGTATTTTTGGATCCTTATCAACAGGAATTTCAGGTGGAATTAATTTCTACAAATAATTGAGTCTTGAATTAATTGTTCTAAGTGCATTTTTAATTGATTCACAATCAAGATCTGGTCTTAAATGATTATATATACTTACTCTTAACGAATTTACATTAAATTTATAATAATATAAGAGTGATGATTAAATAACACAATTAAAATAAATGATCTTTAGAATTTTGAAAAATCCATTACTTTCTAAAACTTTTAGGTCTCAAATACCTAGTTTTGGAGTGCTGAATCATGAAAAGTTTCAAAAGAAAGTTGAGGGAAAAGGGAAAGTTACCAAATTTCTTTATGAATTTTGGGAGATTCTTTATTAGGTATAAGGTTAATGTCTTATTTTAGGGCACTTGGGATTAATGTGTAGATGCTAAAACGATGATTTAATATACTTTCTAACAGAAGAAAACGGCTTTTATGCTATCTGAAATCATAAGAATTAGAAAAGACTTAGTAAAATTCATTCCTTTCTCTTTTTTTCTTATAGTCCCTGGAGCAGAGTTGCTTTTACCTCCTTATCTGTATTTGTTTCCTAATGCATTTCCTACAACTTATTTATTTGATGACCAACTGGCTAAGAGATATATTACAAGAGATAGAAAACAAATGAATTCATATAGATATCTATTTCAATTGATGAAACAACGCATTCCATCAATTGAAAATATTAGAAATAATCAAGATTACAATGCTAAGGGTTTATAAGAACTTGTTTTAAAACATTCACATCGATTTATGACAAAATTAGATTACAGAGAATTCAATTCAGAACAATTGGTTCATGTATTTAAAATTTTTTGAGAGTTTAGTTATGTAAATTTTTAGGAATGGAGTTTTTTAGAGGAACCTATACTATTATGAAACTCACTAAACTTTTTGTTAATCTTCCTGTCTATTTCACTAATCTTTTCTATTGGATAACTAGAAATCCAGAAAGAAGACCTTTAAATAGTGTTTTAAAAAATTGGAATTCTCTCCTTCCTTTCCCAATTGAAGATTTAAAAAAGGCATTGCTTTTATGGTAGATCAAATCTCATCTCAGAAAAGTATTAATAAATTTTTAATATTTAGATGGAAAAATAAGACAAAGCATTTAGATTAAATGGATTTGGAGATAACAAATTTGAAAGTATCCGACAATTTGCAAGAGAAAGAGGCATTCCAGCTTTAGTTATGTAAAAAGAAAATCCTGAATAAGACTTTGAATTGTAACTTAATTTATCCTATTATTATAGCTCTAAAAAGTAATTTAAAAGGGACTACATTGATTTTATACATAAAGAACAAGTATTTGAAAATCTCAAAATTTGGTACGCTGTTCTCTATTATGAGAGATATCATAATAGGATTGTTGAAGAATATGAAGAAAGAGTCAGAAAACATTTACTACATTGATATGTTTCCATTAAAATTATAAATAATGATTTATTATTCTAGTTAAATTATTTGATTCATCAAACTCTATCAAATCTAATTTTTTAAAATTCTTAATTCTATTTTTTTCAACATTTTTTTTTTATTTTATATCAGATAATTGTTATGTGTGCAAAAGTAAAAGTCGGTGATGGAATGTATAAAATATTTTAATATTATGAATAACTGAAGATATTAAGTATTAAAGCATGTTAATTTTTTTATAAGTTGTTAATATAATAAATTAGCTATACTGCTGTTAAAGAACGGTTGATAATTATTATAAGTGAGAGTAATTCTAAGGAAAAAACAATTAAAAGATATTTAAAAGAGTATTTTCAAATAGATTATGGTTATAAAAAAAGTGATTTTATCAAATAATTAAGGCAAGATATATATTAATTATTTTAATTAATAAATGAATTAAGAAGACATCTTTTTAAAGAAATAATGGTTTATAAAGTCTTGTGAAGGAAAGATAGAATAATTTTATGATATAAATCTTAAAAAAGTATTGAATATATTGATAGTATTAAGGTAATTGGATCTGGTACATATGGAAGTGTAGTGAAAGCTGCATTAAAAGGAACTAAATAATAACGTGCTGTTAAAGTAATTCCAAAATCTAAAGTCAAAAATCCTGAAAGATTTAAGAGAGAAATTGATATTTTGAGAGCTTTGGATCATCCAAACATAATAAAATTATATGAAACATTTGAAGATTAAAGAAATGTATATTTAGTAATGGAGTAAATCTAAGATTAATTTTGAATAGGTTATGTGAAGGAGGAGAATTATTTGATAGAATCATGGATAAAGGATATTTCAATGAATCAGAAGCACATACAATATTTCTTTAGATTATGCAAGTATTTTAATAAATAAATTTAGGCATTGAATTATTGTCATTCAAATGGAATTTGTCATAGAGATTTGAAACCAGAAAACTTTTTATTCTTGACAAAATCAGAAGATTCTCCACTTAAAGTTATTGATTTTGGATTGAGTATTCTTTTTGAAGAAGGACCTTAAAAGCCTGGAACATAAAAAGTTTCTATGAAAACTAAAGCTGGAACTCCTTATTATATTTCTCCTGAAGTTTTGAAAGGGAATTATGATGAATTATGCGATATTTGGTCAGCTGGAGTAATATTATATATTTTATTGTCTGGTGTTCCACCCTTTTATGGAGACACTGATCCTGAAATTTTGGAAGCTGTATAAAAAGGTTAATATACAACTGATATTCCTGAATTCAAATTTGTTAGTGATTCAGCTAAAGAATTAATTGCAAATATGATCACATCTCCAGATAAAAGATATAAAGCATAACAAGTTTTGTAACATAAATGGATGAAAGAAAAGAATAAACCAAATAAAGAACTTAAATTAAATTATGGTGCTTTGAAAAATTTTGTAGGAAGTAATAAATTAAAAAAAGTTGCCCTTACTTTTATTGCCTCATAATTAAATGAATAAGAGATTACACATTTAGGAAAGTATAAAAAATATATAATTAGATTATTTAAATAATTAGATAAGAATGGAGATGGAGTTTTGACAATAGAAGAAATTAGAGAAGGATTAATAGGAATGAGTGACGATTAATCAAAAGAATTAGCAAATGTTATTAAAAGTATTGATACTGATGGAAATGGTAATATTAATTACACTGGTATATATTAATCATTATTTCAATAGAATTTTTGGCAGCAACTATGGAAAAATAATTATACATGAAAGAAGAAAAATTATATTAAGCATTTAAAATGTTAGATTTAGATGGAAGTGGTAAAATAGATAAAAAAGAATTGTAATAAGTTCTTGGAAGTATTAAATTAATCTATATTTAGAATCTGATAAAATAATTGATGAAAAATATTGGGATAATATGATTAAGGAGGCTGATAAAAATGGAGATGGAGAGGTAAATTTATTTTAATTTTTAATAGATTGATTATAATGAATTTATTGAAATGATGGATAGATTTAGTATAATGAATTGAGATAGTCTATATTTTACATACAATTTATTGAGAATAATTAATATGTCTTCTCATTTTATTAAATATTATTAATAATAAATAAATTATTATAAAAATGGATAATTAATAAACTGATTAATAACAGAATCAAAATATTCAAGGTGAATAAGAAGAAGTTTAATAATAATAATAATAGGAACAAATTGAATAAATTTAAAAAGAAAAAGAAAAATGTTTAGAATTAAAGAATAAAGCAGGCTTATTGTTTAGTCAATAAAAGTTTGAAGAAGCTGCTGATATATATAATGAAGCTATTGATTATTGTCCTTTAGAAGATTTAAATATGTTATGTATTTTAAATTCTAATATTGCCATTTGCTTAATGAAGCAATCTGATTATGAAAGTGCCTTAGAGCATTGCAGTAAAGCACTTGAATTTAATCCTGAATTTGTTAAAGCTTTATTAAATCGAGCAGAATGTTATGAAAAAACAGATAAACTGGAAGAAGCTTTGGAAGGTATTAATTTAAGAATATTCTAGATTATAAGAAATTAAAGGAATTATAACCTAAAGACAATGCAATTATGAAAAAGTACATTGATTTAGATTTAAAAGTTTAAGAATTGCAAGAAAAAAGAAAAAATGAAGCTTTGAAAGGCTTAAAAGATTTAGGAAATACATTATTAGGGAAATTTGGATTAAGTTTGGATAATTTTAAAATGCAGCAAAACGAAAATGGATCATATAATATATAATTTTAATAATGACTCAAACAATTTATTTTTTAATGTGTTTTGATTAATCCAATTTGACAGGAACTCCTGATAATATTTACATTAAAACACCTTAATCTTAAAATTATTCTGCAAATTCATTTTTTTCAATATTTATCAACTCAATGATAACTAAAATAGGATTCACTAAGATTAGCAAATTCACTAACATGACCTGTTTATACTCTTGGAGTCCTAAACGTATTAATTAATTTCTACAAAATCTCCTTTTTTTAATGATATTAATTCATGAATAGTTCTTTTTGAGAATACTTATAAAAACATTTAACCTCCAAAACTTGCTACTGTACATAATGTATGTAATGCACAATTCCAACCTCCAAAAACTTATTTGAATAATAAAATTACTTGGTTAAATATATTTTTATGATGCCAAAATACAATTCAATGCTGTAAAAAAACTCAATCTTCTTAATGCCCATTGTAATTAGTTCTAATTCTAAGCTTTATTTATACTTCTACATTCTGCAATTTATAAATTAGACTTTTATAGGATTTATCAAAAATTAGTTTCTCTGCTTCTGCTATTCTAAACTTCTATTTACCAAAATTAAAAAATATTTTTTTTTAAATCATATATTTTTTATAATATTCACTTTAAAATTTTCTCAACAGGACATATTTAATTATTATCCGTAACTGTGTAAAAATTTTTTTGTTAATTTTGTTGTTCATCTTGTTTTTCATCATCATTTTCATTAATACTCTTATTTAAATCAGCATTTCCATTTATTTAAACTTTAACTATTATCTAGTCTTATTAAGATATCACTTATTGAAGTTCTTTATATATTTTTAATTCTTTTTTAAATGATTTTAGATTCAAAAATACATCTTCCTCGATGCTAATAAATCCCTCGTTAACTTAATTATTATTTTAACTAATCAATTATTTAAAATAATTTTAATAATTTTAACTTACCTTAATTTTACCAGTTCCATCATTTATGTTAAAAACTATTGGTTCATTAAAGATGATTTCTTTTTTGGGTAATTATTATTCACTGTTTGAGTTTATACTTGCAAATAAAGAAAGTATTTATTGTCTTCCTTCAAGTCCACTGTCTGACTATGATTCAGAAGTAGTTTGTTTTGTTGAAGGTAGCTATTACTACTATTCTTGTTATTAATTAGGCTAAACTTAATTTTAAGGAAGTATCTAATTTTGTATTGGATTTTAGATTTGTCTTGGTTATTATTATCTTCTTTAATTTTGAGATGGCTCTTGATTTTGATGTAGTGCCTGATTATTTTGATTTTATTGTTATTCTGATATATATTAATACTATCTTTGGACATAAGTAACTCTTTCTGGTTTTTGTTGTAATCTTTCTACTAATTTTCCTTCAAGTTTTAGTGCATTAACTCTTTTTATGATATTTTCTAATTCTTAAGTCAAGACTTTATCACGATCTTATGAAATTTTTTTATCACATAAAAAATTTATCAAGTTACCTAAATAAATTAAAATAATACAATGAGATTCAAATTTAGTTTTGACAAGGAATTTAATTATATAGAGCTAATCATTATTCGAGATTTGTATATTTTATTTTTATTTTAAATAATCAGATACTTATTATTCAAATGAACCTCTTGAATAATAATAATATAAATAAATACATTTATTATGTTGGATTAAATTCAAAATTCTTCTTTAACACACATAATGAAAAACTTGAAATTAATTCTTAGCTAAATTTATCTTTTTTCTCTTTTAATACTTCATTAAAAACGATTTTAATTTCCTCTGGAGTGCCTAAAATGGCAATTACTTTTAAAGCTTAATCTACCTAACATACACATTAAAAGCGATTTTTTTATTTAAAGTTAATTACCAAATTTTCAATTAATCTGGCTTGAGACAAATTTTCTTCAGTAGGGTTAAATTATATGAATATAGCAAATAATGATGAGATCTTTTTTTTAAGAAATGAGTATATATCTTAACATAATTATTATTTTCCTTCTAAATCATAAGGAAATATAAATCCTAATATAACTGAACTATATGGTTTTTATACATCTATAACATCTTAAAATTCTAAATTTGCAAATGATTCTTCTAGATCATCTGAAATGATTTTTTTAAAATATTATTATCTTAATTATGCAAGTAAGTTTTTATAATCAATATTAACTTTTGGGGTTGTCATATGATTGGTAACATCTAAAAAAAATATTCTTAAACCTTTAAGTGTTTATTATAAGTTATTTGCAACAATATTGATATCTTCTTATTTACTTACCAAATGAATCTCAATCTTTTAATCGGAATTTTTATATTTCACAATAAAATATTTAAGTTTTGCACATTAATTAAGAATATAATTTGATCTAAAAAATACTCTGGAACTATCATAATCCAAAGCTAATTTCTATGTATATATTTTTTCAATATATTTTTGTATTTCATTTTTTAAGTCTTTATGATAATTTTCCTCAGCCTTGGTTTCAATATTCAAACCTTATTTATTAAATTGGCAATTCAATTCAAAATTTTAAATTAGTTATTTAAATTCTTCTTGATAAAATTTCTATAAGGAAATTAATATTGGGAAATCAGAGATTGGAATATGAATTTTATGAAAGTTAGAAAAATTAAATGTTATGTTCTAAGTTTCATCAAGATTGTCCATTTCTTAATATTCTGAAGGTAGAATTTATTCTTTCGGATCATAAGGATCGTCATCACCCTATTTTATGACGCTTTTACTTTGATTGAGGCTTTCATCTTTTGAATAGGATTTATTATTCATATTAAAATTAATAATAAAAAAAAAAATTAATGAAATATAAACTATTTTTTTCTAGTTTTCAAATGTTTACATTCAAGTTCAGAAGTAATTTTGAAAGTATTTTGATAAACAATGGAAATCTTCCATTTTTTATTTATTTAAACTAAATTCATTACCTTCAATAAGGAGATCTTTATTTTGTGAAATTAAAAGGAAATTTTATATCGAAATTGTATATCAATGTTCTAGTTATTATATTAAATCTTGAAATTTCTTTTTAAAAAAATAATGTTAAAAACAAATATTAATGATTCAAATATTCCCTCAAGAAAAATCAAAAAACGAAATTTCATTGATCCTCAATCAAAACTTGGTCTAATTAACAGTGTAGTAATCGATCATTTACCAATATATTAAGTTTTTAAATTATTTTAATTTTAGGCAGCAATATTACACAAAATCAAGTATTCTTCAGCAAAACATATTATCAGAAATTATTTAAGTGATAGTGATAATTTTTTCTCTAGATAAAAAAAAAGGTGTAGAAAAATTATCTAAAACAATTTCAGAGTAATAATCGATGTCAATTCTGGAAAAATTAAAATCATAAAATCCACTCAAACAATTTTGCCAACAAATTTATAACAAAATAATTAAACAAATATTAACGATATACTATGTGATTTATCACATAACTTATTGAAACAAATAATTAAATCACAAAATAATAATATTAAATATAAATAATACTTTAAACTTGAATTACCTTAAATAAATATGTCATTTGAATAATAATTATCTGAAATCAAGAACATACTTAATTTTTAACATGAACAAATGAATCCAACATGATTTTCATATAGTATGATTTTTAAAAGATTTCATTTTGAAATAAAATATTATTAAGAGTAATTATTAAAATTTCTCTAAATTACATTTTCATATAATTTAAAATCTAATTCCAAATTCTTTAATATACACGTTTGTATCGATTTTTATTAATGCTCAATCATTTATTAACATTATTTTTATAAATTAACTTCTCGAATATTCTGTTATTCTAAATGATTTATCATGATTACACCTTAAGTTTAAATTATTTATAATGAATTAAATAAAAAGTTCTAATAAATATTCATTAATACTGTAGGAACTTTAATATCCAATAATAATACATAATAAAAAATATTTTATTCATCATTATAATTCGCAAATGAAGACTTTAAAACTAATCTTTATAATTTACTTCAGATTATTAAAATATTATGAAAATAAATTCCACATATTCTGAATAAAGTAAGAATGGTTAAACCTTAAAAAATGCTAAAGTTGAAGATTGTAAACAAGATGAATATAATAAAACAAATAAAAGTGAGGAAGAATGTTTCAAAAAGAAGGAAAAAAGAAATCGAAAGTTTTTTTTAAAGCGAACTATTTCTTTGTTATAGATTTGTAAATAAAGTGGTAAGATAGATTTTTAAATTGGGTCTGATTTTCTACACATTGAAATTATGTAAGGAGGTCACTACCCTTTAAATTAATATAATCTAAAAGATCTTCGTTCTGAGGTCTATCTAAATGATTCAGAGTTTTAATCATCTAATATAACTGGTAGTTTAGAAAATGCTTCTAAATCTATTTTAAAGAAGTTTCGAAATTAGTAATCAGAATAAAATTGCAAATCTTTCTCTTATATTTAAAAATAATTAGAAGAAATAAATACATTCTGCTAAAATATTAAGAAGAAAGATGGTTAAAATTGTCCAGTCGATTCTCAATAATTGGATACAGTTTGGATTAAGTATAATAATTAAATTGATTAAGCAATTCAAGAAACAAAAAAAATTTTAATTGAATAGCATCAAGCTATAAAAAACATTCTTTAATGTTGAATATTTAATTTTGCATTTATTATTTCTTAATTAAATTTTTTTATTTTCTATAAGTTTCTAATTCTGCGAGGAATAATCATTTAATTTTTTGTATTTAAATTTGTAATGAACCCCAAAGAATTTGAAAAAAAGTCTTAATGGTTACTAATTTTCATAATTTCATTTATTTTCTTGAGTTTTTTTTTAATGACCTAGAACATATTTTTTAATTATTGGTTAATTCAAGATTAAAATAATAGATTGTTTTGCAGGTTTAAGCTTATAATTCAATGTTTTGCTTTAAATTTGAAAATCAATGCCTTACTAAAGTTTAATTATATTTACTTGTACTGAATATAGATTAAAAGTTAATGATCTTTCCATTATGGATTATGTTTTAAAACATAATCTTCATTACTGATTATTTTTTTGTTAATATATCTCCATTATTATAATTGTTCTTCCCTGCTACTATGCTTCTAGTTTTAATGTTGAATGAATGGAAAAACAAATTATAAATTAATTTAATAAATCATTATTTCATAATATAGAAATGGTAAAGCTTAAAAAAATTTTACTTAGCCAATCATCTTTTTAAAAATTTTAATCAACATATCCCATTTATATTGACTCCTAAGCATTTGTAATAGAAGAATAAATAATTAATTTATTAAGTATAGAGAACATTTAATTAGATTACATTAATGATTTAAGAAAATTCCCTATAATCAACGTGGTCTAAAATATAATTAAGCCTAATTTAGGAATATTTATAATATGATATGGGTTTTATAATTAAATTATTTTTGGAAAATATAATTACGTTACGTTACATTAAAGTATTTGAGTAAATGTAAATCAATTAAGGATTCATTTCGAAAAATCTGCTTTTTATAATAAATAAATTAAATTTCATGCACTTTGAATTTATTTTTATTAAATAAGAATTTTTATTGATTTTAAACAGATTTAGCTGCATAAATACAAAAAGATTAATAAATTAAATAAGCTATTAAAGATAATAATTATTAGATTATAATAGTAATAATTGATTTATTTAGGAGTGAAATTGTTAAATTAAAAATAATAAACCTGTAAATATTTTATTTTTTTTTTATATAAATTTAATTTATAAAAGATTTATGAAGTTTTAATGATTTTTGTAAAGAAATAGATTTGTTTTAAGAATAATTTTAAAAAGAATTTAATCTTATATTGAGATGAGAGTAAGTGTTTTTTGAAAATAAAAGAATAACCAAAAATATCTATAAAAATCTTTAATAATTCAAGGCAATGTAAATTTATAGAGTAAAATATAATGAATGAATAGGTTGCCCTCTTGGCCAAGTGGTTAAGGCATCTCCCTAGTAAGGAGAAGATCGACGGTTCGACCCCGTCAGGGGGCTTTTTTTTATTTGATTAATGAAAGGTATATAGTTTATATTAAATTATTGCAGAATAAAACACTTATTTTTTTATAATGAAATCAGAGCCAGATCAAATAATGGAAAAAAGCCCAAAAGGTCGATTTATTAGAGTATTAAAATAACAATGCTAAAAGGCAGTTTAATGAACAAATTGGGAAAGGCACTTATAAGACTGTATATAGAGGATATGATGAAGAGTCTGGTTGTGAAATAGCTTGGAATGTTATTCATTTAGATCAATTACCATAGTGTATTATAAATTTTAAAAGTATTATAGAAGAGGAAAGGAAAAGAATATCTGAAGAACTTAGTATCCTCAATAATATAAAACATCCAAATATAATAAGTTTTATCAACGCATGGGTAAGTAAAAATAAAAGTGAGGTTATTTTTATTACAGAAATAGTTCATGGAGGATCATTAAAAAAGTATTTAAGAAAATGAATATATAGACATTTGAGAAAAATATAGCGACCTCGATTAAAAATACTTAAACATTGGTGTAGAGAAATATTAAAAGGTTTAGAATACTTACATAGTATTGTACCATATCCAGTGATACATAGAGATATTAAATGTGATAATATCTTTATTAATACACATAATAATCAAGTGAGAATTGGGGATTTTGGTTTAGCCATAAAATTAAAATAATAAGATTTTACTTAATCTGTATTAGGAACACCAGAATTTATGGCTCCAGAAATATATGAAGAAAAATATGGTCCTTCTGTTGATATATATGCATTTGGTATGACTTGTTTAGAAATGGCTACTTAAAAAAAACCATATGAAGAATGTACAGCTCCAAATTAAATTTATTAAAAGGTAACTATTTAAACATTTCATTAAGGTTATGAATAGAATTAAACCAAAAACATTAGATTTAATCTAAAATTAAGATTTAAGAGATTTTATATTAAAATGTCTTGAAGATTAAGAAAAAAGACCAACAGCTACAGAATTACTTAATGATAAATTCTTATAAGAATAAGAAGATGATCATTAACATGTAGTCATTTTAGAAGAGGAATAATTAGAATTAAATTTCTAAAATGATACTTAAAAATATAATCCTATTTTTAGAGAATAATTAGATTTTAATAATTCAATTTTGATTTAATTAAATGATGGTGATGAAATGCATATCAAAATCATTTTTATAGATTCATCTTCATATACAGAAGAGTTTTAAGAATTCACTAAAGTTATTGTTTAGAAATATTAAGATCTTTAAGACAATGAATAATTTATATCTTTTTAAGAATAAAGTAGAAATTTATTTTTAATTAGTCATTAAATTTGGAGGAGTTGAAAAAGTTTTATGGGTTAAACCAAGTGAAGAATCAAAAAAGATTATGAAGACTTAATTTCTGTAATCGCTCGAATCATTTCAATAAGTAATATTAAATATTAATATAGATAATATCACCTCTTCTTTAAGATGTTGACATAAATGAATGGGAATTGATTGAATAATAACTATTAGTGTAATTTTAACAATAAAGAAAGTAACTCAAATCAAAACAGTCAATTTGAATTAACATATGATATATTATTCAAAAAAGACAATCCTCAATATAGTATTTATCATACTTGAAATAAAATGATCATTTTTCTAATATTTTAATTAAATCATTACCAATAAGTTTAGTTTACTAACACTTTTCATTATAAATCAAAAATATTATTTCTTTTACATTTACTATTCTAATAGTAGAAAATACTGATTACTATAATTATGATTAATATTAAAGATTGACTTTTATTCAAAGAGAGAAATTTATTATCATTAATATTATTTATATAATGAGCAATAAAAATCCAATTATGTAAGACAATGTCTAAACAAATAATTCATTGATTAAAGAAAATGATTCAAAAGTTTTAAATAATAAGAGTTAAGTACAGTAATTAACTGAGGAATAGAAATAACAATAAGTATAATGCTTAATTTCATATTTAAGATGGATTAATTTAAGAAATTCTTATAGTAAACAGGTATTTCAGATGCATTTTAAGTTATTTTTGCTGAGATAATAGATAAAAAATTAAAAGAGGAAGATAGTTATAAATATACAGCTGATAGATTAAGAGAAATAGGAAAAGGTTTGAGCACAGAATAAATGGTAAATTTGATTATTAAATTTCATTAGAAAGCAAAATCAGAGATGTAAAAAAAAGAATTAGCAGAAAAAATGAAAAAAAAATGAGTAACATATATATTAATCCTTCTTATTATATGTTTAAACTTTAAATAAATATTTTCTATACCTTAAAACTTTGTTTTGGTTCTAGTAAGCTTTATTCTTTTATTCTAAATAATAAAATCATGTAAATGAAACTGATATATTTTAAAATATAAATTATTTCAAATAAAATTATGTTTATAAAATAATAACTTCAAATTAAGTCGATGTCTTCATCTGAAAAAGGTTAATCATATGTAAATGGCGATGATTTTTTCTTAAAAGATAAAGAGCTTGATTTCATAAATTTTTAATTTGATAGAATCAGTTAAACAGTTTCTAGTATTTATTCATAAGGAACATTTTATTCATTAAAATGTAATGAATGTTGATCAAATAAAAAGGATGTAATTTTTTCTGCATCATTAATTTGAACCATCTCATTAAATTATATCTTATACATTTTAGTTTTATTGTCTGGTCGTCTTCTTTAGTTCAACATTCTTACTTATACACTAATCCTAGAGCAGGAGGGTAGTATTGACATACGATTTTACGAGCTCTCAAAGGTTTCTTAGATACAAAATTCATAGCAATATTTAATAATTAATGCTGTAATCGTGGAATATTTTTAAAAAATATAATGCATGATATTAATAAATACGAAAAAGTAGTATATTTTATCAACAACACCATGTTTCAGTTCTTCTTGATTATTTAAATAAATCATCCTTAAGCTTTGTGTTTTCATTCTGTAATTATTGAATCATCAAATTTAACATATTTATTTCTTAATTCTCTTATAGAATTTATTGTTATTGTTATTAACTTTAAATTCTAGAATAGGGTACTTAAGTCTATTACTCATACATTTAACTTTGACTTTGTTTATATTACTAATAATCATTGTATAATTTTCTATAATTTTATTACAGGTTTTCAATCTCATTATTAAGTTCATTAATAAATTAATCATAGTTTATATCATGTTTCTTTTACAAGTTTAGAACTTCATTTTTTAACATTTTGATAGTGATATCAGATTAATCCAATTATGTTTTTTTTTATTGTAGTTATAAATTTAAAGAATTAATTTCCTCTTATTTTTGTTTTGTATGTAATTAAGATTCTTGAATTTCATTTTTTAGTTTTTCAATTTGCAAATATAAGGTTTAAGCATTTTTTTCATAATTCTCTTTATTAATTTATTTAAAATTCATTAATTCTTCTCTAAGTTGATCACATTCCTCTTCTCTATAGAATATTAATAATTATATTACTTTTATTCATATTTAAGTCTCCATTGATTAATAGAAGATTACATTCCTTCAAAGTTCTTTCTAATTTATTCTTAATTTAAATTTTCTTCTAATTATTCTCTAAGTCTTTCTATTTCAGCAGCCATTAAAAACATAACAATTTTACAAAAGTCAATATCTTAAAATGATATTCTATCTCTTTTATATTATTAATTTGATTCATAAAGTGAGATTCTCTGAGTTAATGAATTAGGTCTAGCATTTCTATATTTTTCTTTATCATCTTAATCTGGTAATTATATTTATCTTTAAGAATTTTAATGAGTTTGTTTTGTATACTCTAGAAGTCTATCAACTGCTTAAAAATCTATTTCTTTTTTTTTTGGTTCTTAGAATGAAAAGTTTGAGTTTCTATACATTAAATTTACTTTTAATTGATTTAACTTATTTTTAATAATATTTTAACATTAAATGTCGGCTAGACCTTCTGGATATTAATAATTTAAAGATGAGGAATAATTTGTTAGTAATAGATAAGAAAAAGCAGTAAATGTAAGTGCAGGAGCTCTTAGTAAAGGAGCTGGATCTGTTGATTTTCCTATAGATTAAATACCTCCTAACTTTGAGTTAGCAGAATTACATCGAGTATTATTTGAATATTAATTTAATTAAGGAAGCATGGAATGTTGGGACAACTAAGTTATCAAAAAGATAATAACGTAGATTATAATAACATAGCAAAACTGCATCAAATAATAATGAAAATAATATGATTGGAAAAATATGTGATTGTTGTGCTAGATAAGTTCCTAATCATTTACTTACTTTAGGTTGTAATAATAAAGATTATTCATTTTTGGGAGCAGGTATGATATAACATTTATATTAAGGTATGCCCTTATATTTTGAGTATATTAAATCTTGTATTCTAATGCTATTAATTATATTTGTAACTTCGGGAGATTACAATATTATTACAAATATTGCTTTTGGCAAATCTTGTGAAGTTTTAAAGGCAGAACTTAAAGGTTAAAATATAGATGAAAAACAGTTCTGTTAACTTAATTGGGTTACTTAATCATCTTTAGCTAATAAAAGAAATGGAGATCAATTTATAGATCTATAATAAATGTTGAATCTCATTTCTATGATTACATTAATTCTACTCTTTTAATATTTCAGAAAAGAATAAAGAACTTTTGATTCAGAAATAGATTCATAAACTTAATATGCTTCTGATTTCACTATCTTATTAAAAAATATTCCAACTGATCCTAATGGATTATAAAATGGAGATTTTGATGAAGATTTAAAAAACTTTTTAGAATAATATGTTCAAACATATCCTAAATTACCTGAAATTGTTGACTATGAACAAGATAGAAAATAATATTAAATTTAATAAAAAATACCATCTAAAGATTTAAAAAGAGTAGTTTCTGTCAATTTATGTTATAACTTAGATGAATAATATTAACTTGAATTATAAAAACAATCTAAAATAGCATAAAAACAGAAAGTATTTACATTTATTTAATTAGATTCTTTCTTAATTATATGGTTAAGGTAAAGATCCTGAAAGTTCAGAAATTAAGAATGATCCTTAAATTATTACTATAGATAATGATATATAAACAATTGAATCTAAATTAGAAGATTTAGAAAAAAAATTTATTGAAGGTCGAGATGTCAAAAACTATTTTTTAGGACAAGCATTTGTAACCTTTTAGTGGGAAAATGATGTTTAATAAATTTTAAATGAACATAAACTTTCTAAATTTTAAAGATTACTAGGAAAAAAAAGCAAATTATAATATAGAGGTGTTTCTTTAATTGTAGAAGAACCTCCTGAACCTACTGACGTATTTTGGGAAAATCTTCATATAACAACAAAATAAAAGATTTTAAGAAGATTATTTGGTTATACCATTACAGCAATCATTTTAGCTATATGTGGAGGACTTATTTATTGGTTATCTGCTATATAAGCTGAAAGTGCAGAAGAATAAGCAGAAGCCATAAAAAAAGGAGATTTATCTCCAAATTTTAAAGTCAAATTAATTGCTTAAGTAGCATCAATTTCAATTATTGTAATTAATGCTTTATTGGCAATGATCATTAAAAATGTTTCTTTATTTGAAAGATTTTCAACACAAACTGGATATAACATTAGTTTGGCAAGTAAATCAAGTATGGCCTAATTTGTAAATACTGCTGTTATAACATTTGCCATAAGTACATGGGTTACCAAAAATATTTATGGAACTGGAGGACTTGTTTATAATTAGACATATGTTTTTTTATCAAATGCTTTTATACCTGCAATAGTTTCTTTAATTGATGCTGGTACTTTGTCTAAATGGGTGTTTTAATATTTAGAAAAAAAAAAGGGAAATAAATCTCTTAAAACATAGAAATAATTACATGAGTAATATAATTAGTTATAAATTAGATTATATGAAAGACCAATTTTTGATATTTCTGTTTCTTATGCTACTATTTTAAAGAATATGTATGTTGTTGCATTCTATGCATCTGTCATTCCTTTAGCATTAATAATAACTTGCTTTGCTTTACTTTTTCATTATTGGATTGAAAAATATAACATAGCAAGAAGAAGAACAATTAAATATAACTACAGTTCTTAAATGTCTATTGAAATGATTGAGTAATTAGAACTAGTCTTACCAATTTATTGTGTATATGTTTATTTAAACAAAGGGAACTAATTTGTGGTGGGAATATGTTTTTTTAGGATCTATTTCAACAGAAGCCATTATAGGAATATGTTTAGGACTAGGAAATGCTATTTTGCCTATGCATGAAATAAATGAAGCTGTTTTTCCTTTGAAATCTGAAATAGATGAACATCTTCCAATTTAAGAAGCTGAAGCTGGATTTTTAACTGTATCAATTTATATAATTATTTATATAGGATTATTGTAGAGAAAATCCTGCAACTGCTGAAACAGCCAGATAACAATATAAAATTAGGGTTGAAAAGCATAAATAATAAAAAATAAATATGGATAAAATGTTTGGAGATTCATGAAATAAATAGAAATTATTTAAAATTAGGTTAAATATTTATTTCTTTTTAATAAAAATTAAATTTAATAAGATATTTTTAATGATTTCTAAACTATATATAGGGATATAGATATATGAGCTAAATTTTCAAAAGATATTAGGCTAATTTTTAATAAAAGCTTCTCATTTATTATTTTTGAGGATTCTTAGAATAATTGTATATAAGAATATTAATAAAATTAATATATTTATTGATATTTGTATAAAATAAAAATATTCTAACAAATTGGTAAAAATGATATGTTAACAATATTGTTGAGTTAAAAGAATGAATAAATAGTAATTTGATGCTAATTGATAAGAGAGATGATTTAGTTGCATAAATATTTTAGTTTAAAGAAGGAACTAGAATTAGTTTGTAAATTCAATATATATAAATTGTGAATCAAATGAGTATTAATGGTCTAAATGTCTTTTTGATAGTATGAAATTTTTATTTAAGTAAGTCAAACTCATTGTTTGGTTCAATGGATTGAATCTATTAAGGTTTGTTACTTTAATATTCAACTATTAGAATGAAAATGATGACTTACTTTTCTTAAAGTAGGGATGGAATACGACAATGCCATCATTAGTAGTTTGAACATTTGTTATTTATTTTTCAGTCTATCTTTTCAATTGTTCTTGACTTTGATTGAGATTGGTTAATAAGTTTTGAATTAAAGACATTATCTAATATAAAATAGAATAGTTACCCCTTCTTCAGATTATTCTTTCTTAGATTAGTCTATAATTGATTTTTTTGGCTTTAAGACGCAGAATTAAATTTGTAAGTCAAATTTTTATCCATTATCATGTGGATAGATGCAATTCATCCATTCAGTCATACATCCATATTCATAAACTAAATAATAAATGCAGAGAGAAGGTACCTTTCTTTTATTCTTGAACTTTCTTTTATTAGAACTTATCTTATTTTTAATCTGATTTCTTGATGGATGGTTTTTGTTCCTTAATCTCTTAAAGCATTTCTTTGAAGTTCTCAGTCATTTTCTTTTATCTGGATGATTTGCGAACTAAATAATCAAAGATAGTATTACTTTAAGATGCTTCTTCTTGTTTCAAACTCATTTAGTTCAATTTTATTATTTATCAAGTCAATGAAAAACTAACTTAAATAGCCTTTCTTTCAGTTTATTAGATTATATAATAACATATAGTGATATATCATCATTCTGGTTGTTAATTCTATTGATTTTATTCAATTAGTTATTATTGTTCTTGTTAGATTTGTTCTCTTCTTCTTTATTCCAAATATTTTCTATTAGTCTCTTAAAGTTCTTTATTTAATCTATCAATATCATATTTATATTAATTAATCTAGAATCATATAATTCTAATACTTAAGCTTAATACATGTTTAACTCAGCAGCTAAACTTTTCATTTGTCTAGTCTTTGCTTTCATTTATTCTTATAATTTAGAAATTTAAGTAGCTTCTTCTAATCCCGGTTATTTTCTCATTATATCTCTTAATTCCAATATTTGTTTCTCTTTTTATTAAATTAGAACTTCTTTTTCTACAACCTATTCAGTTTTATAGATTAATCTTCTTTATAAAGTTTTAATTTTTTATTTCATTTCATATACATCAGGATCACTCTATAATTATATGATAATTCTTACTCCTCCTAGTTTTTTGCATCTTTAAGGATTCAATGGATTTTCTAATTCTTCACTCAATGCCTTTACTCTTAATTTTTCTTCTACTAAATCTTTCTATAAATTGTTAATCCTCTCTTTTAAAATAGGAGCTTAACCAGCTTTCTTTCTCTTAATTTTAAGTTCTCTTTATAAATCTGAGATCTTAAACTTTAATAATTCTATATCACTAAGTCTTTCTCTATATTATTATTCTCCATAAGCTAAAGTCTCTTATTAAACTTTAATTTTCTCATATAACAATGCTGATTCATCATTCCTTCTAATCAATTAAGTACCTAATATATCCCTTTCAGATACTACTGTCTCATATTCTTCTTTAAGTTTCTATCTCTTTATTTCGCTATCCTTTAAAACAAAATGTAATTTAGATATTTCACCTACATAATTTTTTATTGTTTCTTCCTTCTCTTCTATTTCCTTTCTATTCTTCTCTAAAATTCTACAACATTCCTCTATTGTTTTATCCTTCTTTTTATGTTCAAAATGTTCTTTAGCTAATGCTACTTCCTTTGCATCTATTTCCTCTTTCAATTAAGCTATCTAATGTTAAACTATCTTATGTCTTCTTTTTATAACTGCTATTTCATCTTATGTCTCTAATAAATTTTTTGAATATAAATTTCTATCTGATCTTACTTCCTCATATAAATGTTATTATTATTTTAATTTATTATCTGTTTCTATATTTTTCTTCTAAAATTCACTTATTAAATTATCTTTTAATTTGATTTCCTCTTAAGAATGCAAAAACTTTGCATTTATTAATGCTGCATCCTTTCCAAATTTCTCCTTCTTCTTTGTATTAATTACAAATTCTTTCTCTCTATCATCCACTTCCCCTTATAATCTAACTATTTCCTTTTCATAAGATACTATCTCAGTATCAATCAAATTTATTTTCTCATTTAATTTACTATTATATTCTTCTGATTTAGCTTTATGATTTCCAAAACTTATATGAGCTTTTCTTAATTCCTCAAGTAATTACTAATCTTATTCATTAAATTTCTTTGTATCTGTTACATGTCTATCCAATTATTATATTGAATTTATTGCTACTTCCTTATCTTTTATTATTTTTTCCCTTTATTTTTATAAATCTAATAATTTTTTATTTAAATTATTATTTTTCTTTTCTATTTAATTTAGATGAGTTCTTGCATTATTTTTCTCATTCTTTAATTTAATTATTTCTGCTTCATTACTCTCTCTAATATCTTCATTCTCTTCCTTTTTATTCATTATCTCTTTGTGAATCTTTTTTACTTCAGCTACTTAATCTCTTAATTTTCTTAGTTCATTTTCTTCTATTTCTTTATCTTCATCCTTTTTCTATAATGTTTCTGTTTACTTCTTTAATTCTATTTAAACTTTAGATAAATCTTCTTTCTATTTCTCATATTCCTTTTTTGTTTTATTATAATTTTATCTTAATTATTCTAATTCTTCATTTATATTATTTCTTCTTTACTCATCCTTATCAACTTTCTCTTACATTTCTTATAAATTCTTTTTTAATTATTATGCACTTTAATCAAGTTTTAATTTTTCATTTTCATACCATTTCAATTTATCAATAGAAGTTCCTGTTTCTATTCTATTTTTTATTAATTCTGCTTATAAACTGTCCCTTTCTACAATAGATAATTTAAATACCTTTAATTAATTCTTCTTTTTAAGTTTACAATTCTGTAATTTTATTAGTTTAACTCTACAGAGCATTACCTTATTCAACTAAATCTTATAAATGCTTAATTTCAGCTTAAAAGTTTTCAATTTTCTATTTTAATTTAGCTTCTCTCATTTATGCTTATTCAATAACTTTATAGGTATTATCAAGATCAGTTTTTAATAATTTGATTATTTCACTATCTTCTTGTGAAAATTTCAATGCATTAGTTACTTTGCCAGCATTATTTACTATATCACTATTAATATCTCTTAATTTTCTAAGCAATCTTCTCTCTTAATCATAAGCGTTTCGAAATGCTTGATGTAATTTTGTATATTCTTATCTAAATCTCTCTAAAGCAGGTTCATTTGCTAATTCATTTATTATCTATATAGATCTAATGATGCTATCATACTTCTTAAAATTCTCTCTCCAAAGCCTCTCTGTCTTACTCAGAAAAACCTAAATCTTCCATTTATTATAAAATAAAATAAATATTATATAAAAGAACTAACTAATTAAAAAAGACAAACAACATTATGTTCACAATTCATCTCACTTATAACTTAAATCTGTCTTAAATCCCTATAATTTTTTTATTCAAGTAATAAATTTTTGAATATTCAAATATTTGATATATATTTTAACGGATAACAAACCAAAATCATTAAAAAGATCTATTTTTATCCTGAAACTTTTATTCAATAAATGTAATAATCTCATTAATACTAATCGATTAATACATAATTATATTAAGATCAAAATATCTAAAAAGGATATGTCTTTTTTTCATTAAATGTAATCAATTCTTCATAGTTTTGATTTTGAAAAAATCTCTGTTTAAGCATACTTTAAAATTTAGATACAATTAATTTTTGTTTAGCCATTACATTTGAAAAATATTTGTCTTCTAAATTATACAAATAGCATAATACATTTTAAGTAAGAACCATAATCTAAAATGCTTTAGAAGATATTACTGATATTAATATTTGTAAATTATTAAGATTAGCTGTACTTGATTAATAATTTATTAAATTCTACAATCTATCACATAGATACAATATGATAAACTAAAATGATACTAGTATCTCCAATGATAAAAAAGATTAGACTAATCAATAAATTTTAACTGCTGTACATTGTATTTTAGAAAAAGTAAAAAATCTACATTTAGAAAATAATATTATTGAATAGAAATACAAAATTACTTTACTGCCATAAAGGATTATAAAAGTTAATATGAAAAAACATAAAATGAATGAATCAGAGAAATTACTATTTTATATAAAATTAATAGAAAGTGACCTCAATAAGTCGAAAATACCTCTGTTTGAGTTTATCTATTACATTAAAGTCCTTAATAATAAATTTTAATTTAGAAATGATTTACAAACTAAAAGTACCATAAGATTTTTTACATATCCACATATTATTTATTATGTTGAAGAGCTTTTATGGTGCAAAAACAATAGTAGAATGGGAATCTGATATTTCATGTGAAATAGATTATTTTAGTTTGGCTAATTTAGATTTATCAATAGATTTAAATGATGAAATGATTATTGAATAATAATTAATAATTATGAAGAGAAGTCTTAAAAGAGATAGAAGTAGTTACTCTTGGGCACTTGATGATGTATCTTAAAAATGCTAAGATTTATTATTGGAAAACTAAACAACTATAGAAATGCAAAATTTGAAAATTTATAGAGAATTTAGATATAGAAGTGAAAAATAAAAATAAATATGATATTATTTCTTTCGATATGCCTATCTAATGATTTAAACTAATAATTTTAAATATTTCTTAATAAATAAAAGTATAATAAAGTCAAAAAAGTCTGATACATCAAAAAAAAAGTGATTAGAGACTAATGAGTCCAAGAGTAATTGATTCATAGATTAAAGGATTTAAGTTGAATATTATAATATTAAAAATGTGTTAAAATATTTCTATTTAATAACTTAGATATTGATGAGGAACTGAAGTAAAATGATATCAAACTTCCATAAAATAAAAATGCTCCATAAATCTGTTGATTTTTGAGAATAATCTATGTTTTTCACAAATTTTATAAAAATCAACTTAAACCATTATTTGGAACATATGTTACTCCTCCAAAATCTTCTTTAAATTTTTCTGCTAATTTTGGATCCATATTTACTACTGAATTCATAGCTTCTAATTTAAAAATTAAATTAATTTAAACCTTCTCTTGTAAATTCTAAATCAAAATTTTAAACATCTAATTTATCATACAATTTTGGAATAATTGGGGGCTAAATTTTTTTTTCTAATAAATCTTAAAATTGAAAATCTTTAAACCAAGGATGAAGTTTTATAGCTGCTCCACCTCCATTATGTCCCAATCTTTCAAATGGATTTTTTACTAAAAGCTTATTAATATAATAATTAGATATATACTTTAGTAATTAAATCTTTAACTTGATTACTTAAACATAATTATTAAGGAAATACTATATCTGATTCGATAATAGCTCTAAATAGTAAGGATTAACTTTAAGAAAAAAATGGAGGTCTTCCAACTAACATCTCATATCTTATTAATCAATTTATTAATGTACATCAAGATTCCAAATGACCACCAATCTACTTCAAAACTATGTCCATTCTATCTGATAATTTCTGGAGCCAAATATTCTGGTGTTCCAACAAAAGAATAAGTTTTATCACCTTATTTTAAAAATTTAGCTAGCCCATAATCGGTCATCTTAACATATCCAAATTCATCCATCAAAATATTTTCAGGTTTAAGATCTCTATAAACAACTGATATTGAGTGCAAATGTTCTATAGCAAGTAGAATAGAAGCAGCATAAAATTATGTAGTAGCTTCTGGAAATCTTTTTTTGTCTCTTAAGTGTTTAAATAGTTCACCTCCTCTATCAATAAATTTTAATAATACCTCATAAATTTCATAACAAAAAATAGTTTTTCTTATGTTTAAAAAGCATATTCTAATGATATTAAAAATGGATGATCAATTTCTTCTAATAATTTTCTTTCTGCCTTTGTATGTTCAACTTAATTTTTATCTAAAATATGTTCTTTTCTTAATGATTTAATAGCAAAGAGTTCTTTTGTATCTTTTTTTTCGCACATCATAACCTTAGATTTAATTAAAATATACTTTTCCAAATGCTCCTCTTCCAAGTACTTTGATTAAATCAAACTACTCAATTGAGATGAGTGTAGTACTAATTTATTTTTACAATCCAATTCGTTTATAAATCAATTGCTATGGTAATGGTTTATTTTTTTAATAATCTTAAAATTCAATAACATCGAGTTCCTATAATATCTAAATTTATTACAATTGGTTTTTCGAAAGGATATCTTCTAATTCCTTTTTTAACATCATTTTCAGTAGTGCAAAATTAAATTAAAGTAAAATCATCCTTAAAGAAAAATGGCATTTTTTTATTAGTTAATGAACCATAGGCTATTATTAGTGTTTCTAGAATAGTTTTACGACTATTTAAATAATAAATTATTTACAAATCACTAGATTAGAATCTATAATCATATTCTTATGGAACGTGTAATACAAATTCTGTCCCTATATTACTAACACTAATTGCTGAAATTAATGTTAGACGGATCTTTCTTTAAATTTTGATTGATTTGCCTCAAATATTAGTAAAATGTTGTTACCGAAAAATTATAATATTTTACTATCTGATTTAATATTATATACAAATCTATTAGTTAATAGAAATATTCTTTCCTGTTTCTTATTATTTTGGTTCACTTTGATAATATTTGAGGATAGTAATACTCTTTCTAGGAATTATAATTTAAAATACCTCCATGTTCATATTGATTCTATAACTCTTTATTATTGGACATCTATTATCTATCTAACCCATTAATGTTCTAAAGTGAAGAGGAATTCATCAATATAATTTTATTTGTTAAAAAATAATATTATACTATTATTTATAAACTAAATAAAAATCACTTGCAAAATTAATTATGTTTATATATTTTAGTATTATTTATAGGATGTAGATCTTTAAGAGAAAACTATTCGAGCACTCACTCTTATATATTAATGTTAAAATCTTTATATTTTAAATTTAGTTTAAATATTAGATTAATGGTTTAGGAATATATATATAATCAATTTTCTAGAATAATAAAGATAAATACCTTCTTCATCCTACTCATATTATTCTCCTTCTTATTCTTATTCACCTTCTTCCTCTTCTAATTGATTTGGATCAATTCCAAATAAATGAAGGTTTTACTAATTATATTAAATCTATAAAATACACTAAATAATTCTCTAAATTAATTGTTCTCTGTTTGCAATTTCTCATTTTCTTCCATCATTGCTTACTTTTCATCTTACATTTATTAATATAATTATTTAAAATTTTCTATTAATTCCTCTAATTTCTTTATTTCTTCATCTTTCTGTTCAACTTATTAAAGTAATTCGTCATTATCTTCTCTTTTTTCTCCTCCTTCTTAACCTCCACCTTGCTCAAGTTAATTTTTTAATTCTTCTATAATTTAATCTTTTTCATCAATTTCGTTAGCCATTTCTTCCATTTTAGCTTAAATTTCTTCTAAATTATAATTCTAAAATTCTTCAGCAATCTCATCAATTTATTATTATTTTTCATTTATAACTTGCTCCATATCTTTTATCTATTTTTCATATTATTTTTTTTAAACATCTAACTTTTTTTAAGTTTGTTAATCGGCATTTTTAACTTATTCAGTCAATTTTTTTACCTAAATTTAAATTATAAATTACTTCATCAGTTAAAGTGGTTATTTTTTTTTTTTCATCAGTGCTTTCTTTTTTAATATCATTTATTTTCTTTTCAAATTCTCTTTAATTTTATTATCTATAATAATATTCTCAAATATATACATTTTCTTATCAATTTCATTGTTAATGTTTTTAATTTGATCTTTAGTTTATTGAATCTCTTTTCTAAGTTCATTATTTTAATCTTATTCCTCTTAGATTTAATCTTTTAATTTATTGTTTTAAGAATTGCTCATGTAAGATGCAGAATTATTTTACCTTTAGAGTTCTTCTTATTTAGGTTCTACTTTTTGTTTAGTTTAAGATTAAGGATAAATATAATTGTTAGTAAACTTATTAGGTAGAGATTACTATTAAACCAATTAAACAGGTTCTTTAACAGGTTTTTAATTATTCAAAATATCTTCTTTTTAAGGTACATCAGGCTTGATTGATTTAAAGTTATTCGAGAATTGTTTATATGAAGCTGAGGATTGAGGTTTTGTAATACCTTGTGGTTATTGTTTTTGTTATTACAATTCAGGTTTAGACTACAAAAATTCAAAAAAAAATAATTACTTTCAAAGAGGATTCTTTCAAAGCAGAGGTGGATCCTGCTTTTTAATACATTTCTTATAATTATGATTATGTATTTACCTTAATAAGGAATGATTTCAGTTTTATGCTACTCATCTGATGGATTGTTTTTATTATGTACCTAAGAATCACAACTATAACACAATCTATAAGTTTAGCCCAATTAACATTAATTGCACTTTATTGTGGCTGGTCTTTGTTAGCAAACCATACACTTGACAAAGAGAGAACTCATAATTCAAAATAAATTTATTTGAATAATAATTAAGATAAAACTTATATCTTCTTCAATAATGTCAATCGTTAAATTGGAATTAAGAATACTTAAAATAAAAAACTCAATACTTATTCTTTAATAAAATATTGATCATTCAAATAATTCAAATAATGCTTCCATATCATCATCATCATCAGAAAAATCACTATCCTCATTCTCACTCTCATCATCATCATAGTCTTTTTTACTTTTTTTAGGAATTATACTTTCTACAAATGGACAAGCCTTTTTAGATTATTTAAAAATCTTTTATAAATTGATTAATCCTTTAGTCACTAACAGTGGTCTTTCTTTTTATTCTATAATTTATAAAGAAATCTTTGCAACATCATCAATTACAGATATACATTAATTTGGTAATACAAATCCTAAAACTGATTTTACATCATCTCCCCAACAATTTGTTATTACAGGTTCCACTAAATGTGACATTTCAACTAAACTATCAACAAGAATATCTGAAAATCCCTCTTCTTCATATTCATTATATGATTAATAGGCATTTGTAGCTAATTCAAAACCTCCTTTCATACAATCTCCTATTTTTTATTTAAAAGTTTATATATCAACTCCTTCTGATCCAGAACAAGATTTCTTTACATTTACTAATGATTTTAAAATTCCAACTATTTCTTTTATACTTTACACAATCTTTCTATCATTCACATTTTCATATAATTTAGAAAATCTTGGAGTAAGCTTTGTAACCTCACCTGCACATTTAGAATTAATAGAAACTGCACTTGTTACTATTATCATCACAATAACAATTAAAAGCTTCATTAAAATTAATATACACTGACGTCAAATCATTTATAATCCTTAATTATTTATTTTTTTTTTGTTTTTAAAGATTCTACTTAATCATAATCTTAATCTAAAATCAAAATATCATTAAATTTAGCAATTTTTATCAAGATAACTTCTCATTAAATTCATTTAATAATTTTTTTAAAAAATATCATATTCATATTTCATATTTATATGATATTTCATCGATCTATAAATCTTAATATCACCATTAATCATACTTTTTCAATTACTTTCTTGTAAATAGTTAGAAGTTATGTTAATTAAAAATAATTATTTAGTATATAATGATCAATGTTATAAAAATAAAAAAAATAGATTGTGTTGATTCAATATTTTATTTTTCTAAAGCTACTATATATAACTTTTGATTTTTTATCGAATGTGACTTTTTTAAAGGATTATTAAGAACCTGATGTTTAAGAATCTTTTAATTAATTTTTAGGACTCTGAGGATTTGAAGTATTTTAACTTTTGCGTTTTAAAATAGATTTGTGTATTGTAATTTCAAAATTAGAGTCTTTCATCTCACTATATCTATCATCCTTTGAAATACTATTCTATTCTCGCAATTCTGGTAATTCTCTTAATATTAATACTTCTTCTACTGATAATTTTACTTCAGTTGGTTTTAAATCTCCTACTGATATTTATACAATTGGCTCCTCCTCTACTTGAATCTTTTAAGGTGATTATTATTGTTCTTTTTCGAATTGATAATTAATATCATCATCAGAAAACTTCAAAATTTGTATAGGTAAAGGCCTTTCAATACAAGGAGGTCCATAAATATATGTTCTCCCAAAGATAATTTCTTCCAAATCAAATTCTTAATAAGGTGAATCTATTCTTTAATTGCAGATACTACCCATAGTTAAAGTTGTTTATAAATAACAGGAATTTAATTAACAATATAGTCTAATCAAATTTTACATCAGAAATTTGAGGAAACATTTAAACTTGTTCAACTTGACCAATTCTAAAAATAAACCCCACCCCCCCCCCTTTTAGGTTTATAAAATATTTATATTAAAATAGAAATAAAACAAATTCAATTGATAAAATTATACACTAAATTTTAGAACTCCATTATGTTCAGTCGAGTCACTCAATAAATAAGTTATTTATTAATTTTTGATAATTTATTTAAAATATATCACTACATCATTTAGTTCAGAGTTGAAAAAAATAAGAAGTTGCCCATCTGAATTATTTTTTTAATTAAATAAACAAAAGGGACTAATAGATTTTTTTATGTAAAATATCAGTAATATCTACTTAAATTCTTAAATATAAAAACTAATATGTTTATTTTAAATGAGAAAATAATAAAAATATTCTTTTTAAATATTATATTTTATGATAATTTATCTAACAACAAAATAAAATTGTAAAGTGTGCATTACAATTTAATTCTTTAAAAGCTTAAATTATATTATTTTTAAAAGTTGATTAATAAAATGTTAAGCTGATAATTAATAAATGTTGGGTTGATATTTAATATTAATTTATAAAATTTATTTATGTTTCCTGAGTCTTGTAAAAATCGATCAATAGGATCAGTAAATTAATCTTGTCATGAGTCTCATCGTTTGAGACAACATTTAGTAAACTCATTTGGGTTTTTATCTAAACATGAATCAAGAAACTCATATTATGATAAGGAAGATCAATAAGATTAATTATTAAAAATTAAACAAGAGCTTAATTAATTAAGGATAGAAAATACATAATTAAAATCTTAGAATATATATTATTAAGTAAGATTTATTAATATAAAGAAAGATCTTGAAAGCTTTCATCAACAGTTGTCAGATGATGACATATAAGTGAAAACAGTTCGAAATAATCAAAAATTCAAACATTTACTTAAATTACTATAATCTAAAGAAGCTGAAATTGATACTTTAAAAAAAAAGTTAAAAATGGATGAAATTTTAAACTATTAAAAAAAAGTTGGTGAACTCTAAAATATAATTGAGCTTCAGAAAGAAAAATTATTAGGAAATCAAAGAAATTTATTAGCACCTTAATTTGCTATTCTTGATGAATTAGAATAAGATAATATTAAACTAGTTGAGATTATTAAAAATTTAGAAGAGAAATCAAGAGATTACGAATAATTGAAAAAACACATAATAACATAATAAGTCAAAATTTAATAATAAAAATAACTCATTAATGAATTATAAAAAGAAATTCGTTAATATAAGGAAAGAGATTTATTATTTGCAGCAAAACACAATTAAAAAAGTAAATAAGATCAATAAATTAAGTAATAATATTTAAATGAATATAGAAAACTCTTATCAGATATACATAAATTAAGTTAGAAGAGATAAGAAGATGAAGCTTATATAGAACAATTAATAGATAGACATAGATAAGAAATTAAAAAATATGATCGTAGAATTATGGAAAAAGATGATGAAATGTAATTATTACTAGAAAGATGTGAATCTTTAAGTAAAGCTCTATAAGAAGAATAAATTTTAAAAGCTAAACTTAAAAAGAATGATAAATCTAATTCTATTGTTAAACCATCTATGTTTTCATAACACTAAATAGTTGGAAGAGGTTCGGGAGATTTTTCACTAATTACCTCTTAAAGATCTTTAAGTGGTATTGGAAAATCTAAATATTCAAAAATTAATAAATAAGATCTTTGTTAAATAATGAAAATAATTAAATTCTCAATGATTATTAATAAAATTCCTTTTGATGAATTAGATGCCGTAATATACATTTTATTTATATTAGTATTTGTTTAAAAATCAATAAGAAACTACTTTTGATGAACTTAAAGATTCTTTGCAATAATAAATTTTCAATCTAAATAAGGAACAAGCATGTACTTTAGCAAATTATTTATTTGATTAAGAGGATGAATCTAATGCAGAAAAACCATAAAATAATTCAAGGATAAGAAGCATTTTTAAAACATTATTAGATAATTTTCGATTACCTAATAAACAAATTTATGATGAAATTAAAACAAATTTGAATACAAACAATCTTGAAATGATTAACAATCAAATTCAATCTAAATTTTAGAGTCCTCGTAATAAACTTAATGTGAATGTAAAATATACTGTATTTATATAGGATTTATTTGAACTTTTCTTAGAGAATGACATTAAATTATCTAAAGCTTCTCTTGATTATATTGAATCCTAATTTTATAAAATGAATCAATAATTGTGCGTTTTTGAAATTGATTAATTGAAACAATTGATTGATAATATTAATAACTGATTGTCTTTAAAAACTCAATTAAAACTAATCTTAAACTATTATTAAATAAATCTTAACTTACTTAAAATTTTAAAATTCATAATAAAATTAAATAAATTATAAAAAATAATTATTGTAATTCCTTTTTAAATTTTGTCTTATTTATTTTATTATAAAAAAAAATAACAATAAATAAAAATATGTATTAACCAAAAGAAATGAAGGAGTTTCATGATAATTAAATATCAAAAGAATGGCAAACTGTTTGGAAACTAAGAGAAAAGGATTTCGTATCTCATTTTTTTGTATCTAAATCTGGTAATCTTGTGGCTTTTGTAATTGAAGGAAAAAAAGTTTATGTAATTAGCCTTTTAACTAAAAAAATTATTTTTGAAATGACATTTGTGAAATTTTAAATTTATGATTTGTAATTTACTTTCGATGAAAAAAAAATTTGTATCACATAAGAAGAAAGTAAATGCTTAAGAATTATTGATTTAAGTACAAGATGTGAACTATGTTACAAATTACCTTAAAGTTTTCTTCCACTTGATTGTTATATTCTAATTGAATAATAAAAGAAGATTTATTTATATTAAAATGATGCATTAAAATTAATAGATTTGAATGAAGAGAATTAGGAATTGTTAATATAGTTTAATGGAGAATATAGAATTCTTTAAAAAACTACTTTAGATTATATTATAAATATAGCATTTTTAAATCAATTACATGTTATGTATTTAAAAAATGATTTTTGCAAATATAAGTAAAAATACTTAGAGGTTAATAAAATTATTCATTTCGCTGAAACTAATAAATTATTGTCAATAATTACTTTTGAAAATACCTACCAAATATTCTTGAAAAATTTATAATGTAAGAGAGTACTAAGAAAATTTACTAATATTTAGCTACAAAATATATGTGATATCAAATATTCTTAAAATAAAAAATACTTATTTTTAAATAATGGCAATTTTTTGTTAAGATGGAATATAACAACATCCAAATTATCAAGATTATCAGTATAAAATAATATTTTTGAAAAAATATGGACAGGAGGCAAAAATGAAATATTTATTTTGAATTCTAAAAATAGTATACAAAAAGCTTAATGTGATTTTTGATATTATACTAATTTTCCAAAAAATCATTATATTTTAACTGTTAATCTTAAATTATATTTCTTAATTTGATCAAATTTCAATAGAAATACCTAAAACCTTTTTGGAATGATAATTCAGTGTCTTATAGCATAGTAAAAAAGAGAAAACTGAATTGAATTTTATTTTAATACATATAAATATAAATCATATTTTAAATAATAATTTTGAAACTAAATTAAATTTTTTGGAGTCTTTGATTTCAAGAACTCTTAATTATTAGGATAGAGAACCTTTAGAAAAGAATACAGGGCAAAAGATATAAAATTTCTTCTTCCTCCTGGTATTTATGGATTAAAATAATTGTATCATTTATGCTTTAAATATTATCTTTGAATTGAATAGGCTTACAATTGTAATTTAAGAATATCAGGTGATTATTACTTATATTAGATTGCGATAGAAGTTTATAAATTTTAATCTTGTGTATTAGGTAGAAGAGATGCTAGAAAAGAAGGTATGTTATTGAATTAGCTAATAGTAACTTAAAACAGATGAAGAAGAAAAAAGAAATTTGTGTAGATATGTATGTAAAATCTATTATGTTGAAAAGCATTTCAATTTTCTAATTAATAATGAACATTTGTTTCATAGAATTATAAAACCAGAAAATCTATTAAACTAGAAAATTTTAGAAAAGAAAAAGGAGAATTTAAATGGTTAAGCAATGCTTAATACTTTAAGAGGAATACAATTATTTCTATTTCCTAAACTATTTATTGCTTATATAACTAATTAGATCGAACATTAGACATAATTTAGAGAAGATGATGTATTTTAATTAGTGATAATATTTCTTCTAATCATACTACTTTTAAGTGATAAAGATCTTAGAATCTTAGCATTTAAATTTTATTTGATTCTTAAATATTAACTTATAAATAATTTCATCAGAATATTTTGCACGAATAAGCAAAAAGCTACCATAAATTCCAATTTTTCACAAGAAAGAAGTTATTTTTTTTTTGACTAATTTTATTGAAGATTTACATCATTTAAAAATTTTAAATTAATAGAAATAATATAACTTTGACATTAACTTTATCATATACAAATACTAAATATTTTCATTTGGATATATTTATAAGCTCAATTTAAAAAATTGAAATATAAATGAATGGAGGTTTTGAATAATATAATGATATGGTTTGTGAAAATAATATTGGATCAATTTAAATAAGCATTTAATTGAATTGAAAGAATTAAAATAATTAAATGCTTCTAATCGAGCAAAATTAATTGGCTTTTTAGAAAGTGATTAAAATAATAATACTAAGTGATGGATTAAAATCATAGAAATTGAAAAAAATCATATCATAAAAGAGTCTGTTAAAACTGCAGAATATTTTGATTATATTTGATTTTTAAAATTGATTTAAATGATGTATATTGGATTCACTACTAATAAGTATTTTATCAATTCAATTAATTTTATAAAATTAAATTAAATTTAATGTATAGAAGTTTAGGATTACTTATCAGATCAACATCAATAGTATAGAAGTGTTTAAAATTAGTATAATTAAATGTGGATAAGAGGTCCAAAAAAAGCAAAAGTAGAGGCAGTAGCTACTTCAGATGATTTAATAAATATTTGGAAAGAAAGAAAAGACCCTGAAATAAAAGAGATTGATTAATATCCATTATGGTTATTAGAATTGGCAATTCCTTTAGATAGCATAGATATAACATCTATTTAAATAGCAGCAAATGATAAAGCTTATGTTAGCAATAAATGTTATTTAGCACCCTCCAGCAAGTCATGTGAGGAGTATTGTTAGAAGTTTAAAAAGACAAAGAATAATTTTAATGAATAAATATACAGCTTTGAATAGAGATGGTGATATAATTGGTGATGATGATCTTAATGATTAAGAAGATCAATTAGAACATATTTAATAAGAAAAATTAGCAGAGGAAGCTGCAGCTGAAGAAGCAGCAAGACTCAAAGAATTAGAAGAAGATGATGAAGATACACCTAAAGGTATAAAAAATTATAATTTATAAAATAGCAAGAAAACCAGCTATTAGAAAAGAAGAAGATGATGATGATAAACCAGCAGGTGGAAAGGCTGGTGATAAAGATAAAGCAGCAGCAGGTGCAAAAGGAGGTGCTGCAGCTACTGGAACAGCAGGTAAAGCTGATGCTAAGGCAGGTAAAAAAAAATGAGGTGTAAATTTATATAGGATTTATTTATGATTATAAACCAATTTTCTAAAAAATTAATTTATTTTTTTAATCTATATTCTTTCATTATATAATATAGTTATTAGTTTATTTTAATTCTCACAAATATATGTTTTAAACTTTAAAATATTCTAGTTTCTATTTACAGGATAAAATTTATTTAACTGCTCAATTTATTATTAATTAAAAATGATCATATAAACTAAGAGAATATATATTATCATTATAAATCATTTTTTAAAATATTCATTTATACAGAAGTTTGTAATAAAAAATAAATCTAATTTTTAGAGTAAATTTTTTATATATTTGATTTTCTAAATAATTTCTAATGATAGATTAAAATTAGACTCATAAATCTGTGAAATCTTAATGTAAGAAAAATTGAGAATATTGATGTTAATTATTTTTTTTACATTAATTAATTTAAAAAAAAAAAACTAATTTATTGAAAAAAAGCTCAAAAAAATAGAAATCAATAAATCAATAGATTTCAGTATTTTTAAAATTTTGATGAACATGTTTGATTCTTTTTCTTGAATCTTTTTTAACAGGCATTTCACAATTTTTACATTCATCACATTTACATAATTCAGAACATTTAACACCCATTTGATAACATTCACAATATTTTTTTAAGCAATTAGATTTCTTACAATTACATCCTTTAAAATGTCTTGGTTTATGATCTTATTCATCTTCTGAATTGCTCTATTAATTAAAAAATATAATTACTTTGGATTCAACTTTAGGACGGAAAGCTGATGGATTTCTTTCCATAATTTATTTAATAACAGTTTCTCTTTCTTTTGTATGATCATCATTATTGTGACATGAACAACAATTACAATCTTTACCACATGTTACACCTGCAGCAAAACAATCACAATATAATTTGAGACATTTAGATTTCTTACAATTACATACTATAATTTTTGGTTTTTACTCTGTTTAAGGTTTTCTTCTTTTAGAACTTGTACGTCTTCTATTGCTTATTTAATCACTTGTAAATTTAAGAGGTTTTTTCAAGGTAACAAAATTTATGAATTTCAATTTTGTTGCTCTTTCTAATTTTCTATGAGGTGATTTAGGAGGACTTTTAAATTGAGAATGATTATCTTAATCTTCTGATAAGATCTCTTCCTCTTCACATTATAGATCATCTGGTATTTTCATAGAACTGAGAGGAGAACTTATATTAACAAGTCGTTATTCTGTCTTTGTATGATCAAAGTTAATTTATCTGGCAGGAGATATAATGAAAATATTTGCCTTTTTAGTTGTCTAATGATTTAATGGAGAAAAAGGTTGAAATCTAAAATTTTTTAATGAAATGTCAATACTAATTAGGAGACTTCAAACATGGAGTGAATTCTAATTTCTTACATACTTATTCAGGGGATTAGTCTTTTAGATACATGTCATCTTAGTTTTAGACACAATCGGCGTTAAAAACTGGAGATTGATGAATTTTTTCTAATCTTTAAAACAATTTAGTAAATGGAGTTCCATCTTATTTAAAATCTGAGCTCATTTGTATTATGAATTTTTCCCTCTGAATTTAAATTCAAATTTATATATATAAAATGACAAAATTTATATCCAATATTTAGAGAAAGATACTTGTCAAAGAGTCTGTAAAATTATGGATTTCTTTAAGTTGTCAGTAATATAAATTTTAAGTGAATCAATTTTTGGTAAATAAATAAGAAAGGAGTCTATCATTATATACAAGCTTTTTATAAGAGTATTAATTATATGTTATCATATTATAAATGAAATAAATTTAAAAAAACATATAAATAAAATTTAATTAATTTATTTAGAATTCTAGAAGGTACTGTTAAAGATTGAGAATAAAAATAATAAATAAGTTTTGAGTATGAATAAATATAATAAAAATGATGGTTGATATTCTAATATAGATAAATTGATGCATATAAATAGCATTTTTTTATTTAGTTATGAAATAAATTTATTTTAAAAAATTTAAATAACGGAAGATATGGGTCATCTGTTTAGACATTAAGAAGGAGGTGCTGGTAAAATCAATCATTTAAATATGCAGCAGCTCCTGTTGTAGCTGTAATTCCAACACCTTAAGCATCAACAATAGATTATGATTGGGTACTAATTTCAGGGTTCATAATCGTTTTGACATAAGTGGGATTTGCATTTATTGAAGCAGGATCAGT